CCAACCCCCCTGGAAATTACGCCCCTGGTGGATCATATCGTACGCATTTGGAACCCTTTTGAGGCAAATTTCTCTCCATAAAAATGCTTCAGAATAACAATTCAGAGCAGAATATGCTGAATGTAGAACATACATGAGCTGCATTAAACTCTGAATATGCAATATTTGGAATAGAAATGAAATATTAAATGTAGTGGCCAAGTCCTCTAAGACTTTTAAACTTGGTCGAGGATAAAGACGATTTAAAGCTTTACTTATTGTCTCTCGCTGCTGTAATATACTTTAGTATGGCCTTTACATTTGAATAATGTTTTTCTTACCCATGAGCCTAAAAATTAGATGTAGTTCTTCCTTCACAGTGGCACCAGGAAACATAGGACGACCTGTTGCCATCTCATACAGGATGCAGCCTACGCCCCTGTGAGAAGGAGGCGGAGATAAGGAGGCACAGAGGAGGACGAGCTGTTAGGTATAAAAATTCTGAGTGAGGTTGAGTTCAACACACACACACACACACACACACACACACACACACACACACACACACACACACACACACACACACACACACACTTCAAAGACTGTTAATTGTAAGTGCAAACTAGTATGCAGTGAGTGGGCACAGTCCAGCCTTTTGTTCCACACAGGATGGCGTGGTGAAGAGGCATCCTGCAGTCTGATGAGAGTGTATGTAGCTCTATGTGCTCATAAAAGGCTGCTGTGTTGCTAGAGAGCCACATTTATATTTCTGATTTAGCAGAGCTGTGGGGGTGTTCTCACCACAGCAAACCGTGTGCAAAAACACGTAAGGAAAGTGAATGCACGCCCCCTTTGTATGACTAGTGACTCACCTCACTGCTAACAACCTGTGACATTTTAATAGACAGAACTGAGTCATGGAAATCCTGGATGGCCCTTGAGTATATTTAAGTGTTTCACCAAGTAACAGGATTTTACTGTAACCAGGGTCGGCACCAATTCCTTTCCTGACCAGCTCAGTGGTTTAAAGTACACTTCTAGCTGTGTTTCAAGCATTTAGTTTCCAGCCAAGCAGGTCAGTGTGCACCGTGACTGATGTGGAAAAATGTAAGGACGGCCCTTCAACAGAAACGTCTATTGTCCCCTGCTTACCACATGTCGATGGGTGTGGAATATTCTGTAGAGCCTAGCAGCACGTCAGGAGGTCGATACCAAAGCGTTACCACCTCATTGGAATAGGTCTTAGTGGGGACGGACTTGGCCCTGGCCAGACCTGGACATTACACAAGTCACAGGACCTCAGTAACAGCACAGTGAAATATCATAAGTCCATCATCTACACACTGTGAGCAGGTAAAGAGAAGCTTCCGCTATCCGCTCATTACCCGTGTTTATTTAAAACTTTTGAAATGCAGTCAGAAAGTACTGGTGGATTTAATTCCCATTTCCAGCAGAAAACTGTGAAAACTCAGAGTGAGGGGCACAGTTGCTAGGATACAGGAAGTAAAGGTGCTAAAGTAATTAGGACAGGCGATCTCTTGAGTGGCAGTAAAATAGAACTGGGGAGTGATCATGCCCAGAAACGTGTCGTTTCCTTCACAAAAGTTCACTTGTTAATGTGTGCATGTTGTTGTGTGTTTGTTATTGTTCTCCTTCCTACCAAAATCAGCTAATTTCAATTCGCCCTTATCATTGATAAGCAGGTTCTGAGGCTTTAGGTCTCTGTGGAGGATTTTTCTCTTGTGACAATAGGACAGACCACGCAGCAGCTGGAACATGAAGATCTGCAGACAGAAACATGAAAGGAGGATGTAATTACCAGAACAACAATACAGGACCAATCTGAGGAGAAAAAGAGTTGCAGTAGTTGTGTAATAGTTAAGATTTAAAACAAAAGAAAAGATAAAAACAAAACAATCTTTAATAAAAATGACACTAAGGGACGCTTCCACAAATCACCCTCTGTGAACACAGTTCACCGTGCCGTTCACAAAGCAAGGTCAAAGGTCTGTGAACATGTGCACAGCATCTAGAAACAGCATCCTCTTCTCTCCGTTATGCTAATTTAAACTGGACTGTGGTGAAGTGTCAAACTGTCCTGTAGTCAGATGAATCGAAATTTGAAGTTCTTTTTAGAAAACATGGATGCGCATCTGCACTCTGCATTTCTGAGAGTGTGGGAATGGATCTGGAAAGGCAGCATTAATTCTGAGAGGCAAGTACAGACCTTATTTACATCTTAAAATGGTACATTCCCTTAATTTAAACATTTGATATATTTTCTATGTTCAGTGTATTGCATAACTATCATCTATTATCAGAGTCCTTAAACAATGTAGTTGTCATGCTGGAGGGAATATATCTCTCAGCTGGGCTGGGAATGCTTTGGTTTTTCCATGGACACACTAGAGGAGGTGGCTGGGGAGAGGGTGGTCAACTTAGGCTGCTGCCGTGACCAGGGCCCAAATAAGCAGAAAAAATTGATCAGTGGATGTAGTTGTTTAAGGAAACTCGTATAGTAACTCTAAAATAAAATTAAAAAACTGTTTACGTTTAACTAAATCAAAACATACATCATACAAGATGGACAAAGCACATTTCTGTCAATCATTTAAATACTCTCCTTCCAAAGTTTTTCAAGCTTAAAGGGAAGCTCCCATAAATAAATATGCAGTAAGGCCAGCTTTCCACTGCACAATTTACACTGGACCTAGTTATGAATATGGAGAGCAACTCTTAGTATCAAAAAACTAAACAGTTTTGTCCTGATACAGACCGTAGATCTGCCCAAAGGTTTTCACATTTGCAAACAAATAGTTCGTTTTGGCTGCTCTCTTATTCACGTGGGTCATTGTAGCAGGTGGCTCCACAGTGGCAGAATTTTTTGTTGGTTCCCCCTGATTGTAATTTGGTTTGGTGAGGTTCGGTGACCTCCCGACCTTTGTTAAAGAAATGTTGAACACATTTTACAGGAAACTTACTTAGTGCAACTCTCTACAATGTGCAGTATGTAGATGATGATTCATGCATATGACTCACCTTGACATTATGCATGCTCATGAGGTTCCCACAGTTGTCCAAGTACTGTTTAAGATCACTGTCCTGAAACACACAGTCAAATTGATCCATTTTGCTTTTTGGTATTTGAGATCAACATCTTCAGAAGACCTAATAAAGATGAAGTGATATACTCACAAGATACTCAAACACCAGAGTAAGGCAGCGGTCGGTGTGGATGATGTCATGCAGGGTGACAATGTTAGCGTGCTTCAGGTTCTTTAGCAGAGACACTGGTTGGGCAAGGGAAGGAGACATGAAGTGAGCTATTTTATTCAACAAAACCTGACAACACTACACCCGAGGTGTGAAACTAAATGCTCTGGCTTCACTTATTTGTCCACCTTTATATACAGTCTGTGGTCGAAAGCTAGCAGCTGTGTGTTGCTTTAAAGTTTGCATAGCCACGGTACAACAAAAAGAGAGCTCTTTGATCCTTCTCATCAAATTTAACACACATGCATGTACTGATTTTTTTCATGCTACTTTATACTCCTACTTCAATGTTTCTACACAAAGATTTTGTGTTTTGAGTTTCTGATATATTATGTTCATTTAAGTTTCACTCACTGTTACTATTTAATGAGTTCCCTTTTACTTATTTTCTTTGGCTTGCATTCCCTTTGGATTCTTTGGACATTGTAAATTGTTCAGATTAAATTTGCACTTAATGTCTGTTTTGAGTTTGATTTTGCATCTTTTGCGTCTTGCATTTGGGTCTGCAAGATCTTTCCACATCTCAGCCTAAGAGACAGAATAAAATAACTAGAACAACTAGACTAGAATAAGAACAAAAATAAAAAATTTATGATGATCAAAATTCCATAACACTGTAAAATCCCGAGACTGTGACATGACTCACATGAGGAACATTTAAATGACCATTTAAGATAATTCAGCTTCTAAAAAGGATCATACAGTACATAAGCAAATTCTTTAGCAACATCGACCTGATATATTGAACTGTATCAACAGTTCTGTAGTATTAATTCAAGTTGCTCTGTTACTAATGCTGCAGGTGAATGAAAGGACACGGTGTTATTATTAGACCTACCTGCTCGGTGTGATTACCAAAACTGCAAGTAGAAGTGCTACACAAACACAGCAGCACTGGACTGTAAAGCGTGTGTGTGTGTGTGTGTGTGTGTGTGTGTGTGTGTGTGCACATACCTTCTCTGATAGCAGTGCAAGGTGCCCCCTCATCGTGCTCCAGCCGAATCTCCTTCAGAGCAACCAGGTTCTCAGTGAGTTTGCTCCGCCCTTTAAAGACTGTAGCATATGTCCCCTGCACAGAGAAACACCCCGAAGAGCTTACTGATATTCTGATGTTGCTGTACTACAACAAAATATACTAATAAAAAGTACATGTTCACATAGAGACTATGGGTGTGGCATCCACACACACATCCACATCACTTATGCACAAATAACCCTTTAATATATTTTCAATCGTTAGCTGTATCCTTGGCTCTTATTGGTATTCCATCAAAAGGAAAGAGCTGAAGTGGTTCAAACATCTGCATGCTAATGGAGCCATAACGGGAATACTGGGAAGCGCAGTGGAACCATCCATAGCAGGATGAAACAATGAAGTCTATAGTTTATGAAAATCCATAACAACAATAACAATTTTTCTTTTAAAGGAACAGTTTGATGTCACAATAGGTTATAATGTTATAATAATATCATTTGTTAAAAGATTCCCAATAAAACTTTTCCGTTCTTTTACAAACTGAATTAAGATTTCACATATCGTGTGTGAAAGCATCAACTTCACATCTCGAACAGCCTTTGTCACATTCAATAATTAAATATATATATATATATGTAAATATTGTTTTAGGATCTGATTATTAAAGTTTGATGATTTGTCATCTAGAATAACCTTCCACTGATGGTTTTGTGTAAAGCTAACCATGCTTTTGTGGACCTCCTATCACTATAATTGACAATAAAAGCAGCTCTTCTTGATCTCCTGCCACCCCTGTTATCAGCTGCTGAGCCTTGTGACTCAGATTGATGCAGGCTGCTTCTGCCACTAAACATTCCTCAGCCCTTAAGGCAATAAATGTTCTCACATGAATAGCATGGTATTTAGGTGCTTTCAGCCCCTGAGCCCTCTTCATCTTAGGCAAGTCCATGAAATGTAATCCACTTAGCAATTTGTCATGAAGCCATGCCAGAAATCTGGACACATGGGTACACTAGTTTGGCTTGGTATATAAGCAAAGAAGGCACATACTGCATGTGGTACTCATTTTGATACGATGAGCATGGCTGATCACAGACAACGTTATCCTCTGGAGACGTTTATCTGTGGACTTGTGTACACTCATATCTCACTGGACTATGATGTGGGTGAAAATCTATTTCTTGCAAAGCAGCAGTTATAGTGACTGAGGAGAACAGAACCACTGTGTATCTGACTGCTCTGACACGTGATAATGTGACAGCAGTATGTTGCTGATGTCAGTCTGCTGAGTTGATATCATGTCCCAGAGATGGACTACAAAACTCACATCTTTTATACTTTGCCCTGTGCATTGTTTCTGTGTTTTATGAATGGCTGTGTCAACGTGGACAAACCAGTAGCAAAAATCACTTCATTACAAGATTAATTCCCAACCTCTGTAAAGTCTAGTGTGCATTCACAGGAAACATGAAGTGTCATGACACTATGTTAGGTTAACTGAGATTACTTCACTCCAGGCAAAACTGAATAGAGAGTAATCTGCGTTAAAATATTCAAGCTTTTCAAAAACACGTCAGTTCAGATTCTTGTGTTTCTAGAAATGGACGAGAGGCAAATTAACACCATGTGAAATTGAAAATAGCAGAGTGCTTAGAGCGAGGTTTTTACAGTTAACTTAAACTAAAAACGTAGTTAACTAAAATGAAAATAAAAATGAGACTTTTAAAAATATGAAAACCTATTGAAATCATTCTGCGAACTTGGCAAACTAATTAAAATACAACTATGTCCAAAATGATGAAGACTACAAACTCCACTTCATCATTTTAATACAGCTCAAAATCATGGCAAGAAACTTCCTGATTTACATTTCCTGGTTGACTGGGGCCTTTCCTGCATGGTCTCTCTATAATCCAGTTACTTTACTCATTACTTGAAAAAAGTAAGGGATTACTATTGCAAAAAGGTATTTAAATACAGTTACTTTCCCGTAAGCACGCTGCGTTACTAAACCGTGATTTTGTTTGTGAGTGTCTCATGACAATGACGTACGAGCGTGCGACATCCGTGGTAACAGACATGTGCAGATCAACAATGGATAATATGGAGTGCAGGAGAGAACACGACCATGCAGCGTTTAAAGTGTGGAAGTACTCATATCACTTTGAGTTTTAGTCCGTAAAAAGTGACAAAAACATTAGCGTTTAAAATTATTTAATTTTATATGCAGGAATATGCAGAAAATAGGTTTCAATGTTAAACAGATTTCTTCAAGTCAAACAATGTTGCATATAACTGCATTTAACGCAATGAATTTTTGCTTGATGCAATGTGCATAACGTTAAAAGATGAAAAGTAATAAAACAAGTTTTAAAAAGATACTTTTTTTCATTTGATTCAGTTTCATATGATGGATTATGCAGAAAAAAATGGCTGAAAGGTCTGTTGCTTTATTACATATTCAGGTTGTGTATCGTGCTTTTAAAAAGTAACAAAGTAACAAAGTAAATAATTACTTTTGAAAATAAGTAATCAGTAAAGTAACGGGATTACTTTCTTTGAGAAGTGATCAGTAATTAGGAACTAATTACTATATTCAAGTAACTTGACCAACCGTGAGTACTCTGACCCATACTCGGAGACATGCATATTAGGTTAACTGGTGATTCCACACTGGTCATGGATGTGAGGTAGATAAAGTGGAGTGGACAGAAGTGCATGAACGTGGCATAACCTTTCTGATTGGTCAGTAAGGTTGAAAAGCACTATACAAATTCCAGTCTGCTCCGTTTCCAAAGTACTTGAAACAACAACTACGTAACACGACGGCAAAGTGTTTAAAGTTCACCGGTGGGTTTAACAAATTGTACAGAGTACAAAACGTGTATTAACATCACATTGTAACCTGTAAGATAAGAAACGGAGCAGCAGCTTACATGATAACCTTCTGTTGATGGTTTGTTTTTGTAGTGTGTCACTGTGAAATATTGGACGGCACTATCTCCTTTCCTTTCACAAAGGGTGGCCCTCTGATAAAAGAGGTAATACAGGAAGCAATGATGCCATTTCAGGTGTTTAGAGAATTCACCCAGCTCTTATTATGGCTGCTATGCAGATGTGTCCACGTCATTTCGCTCGTTTCAAAGCCTTTATAAGCAAAACTGAGTGTTTAACCTATGTGTATGTTCTTAATGAAACATGAAAACTGTTACTGTTACAACTTACCTCACCCAGTTTGCCAAGCTTAACGTATGTTTCCAGTTTCCCAAATCCTATGTCAGACTGGGAGCAAGAAGAAAAGCCAATAAAGTCACTAAAATGAGAAAGTTCTATTAAAAAGCAGACAAACATGGCAAAAACAGACACATCACTAACCAGTGAGGCGCGTCGAGACATGCGACTGAGAGGTTTGCAGAGCGGTGAGTTTTCATTCTCCATCTGCAACTTCTTCAGAAACTCTGGAGGCAGGCGGATGTCCATTGGCAGGGACATGCGCTTACTAACATCCTGCAAGAATAAAAGTGATTCATAAAAACTGTACGTTCTCATTTCCAAGTGCTTCGAGGGACTGATCCTGGCACAAAAACCGTTCATGCAACAACACCATCATACAATTTGCAGTTGACACAACAGTCATCGGTTTAATCGCCAGCAATGAGGAGACTGCATACAGGGAGGAACTGCTAACCCTGTCAGCTTGGTGCTCCACCAGCAATCTCATCCTCAACACACGGGTCGATCCAACAAGAGAACTGACCTGACCTCACTAAGTAGGCTGGATATTTCTTGGAGTGAATATCCTTTAGGCCTTCTCTTGGTCTCCACACACCTCAGCTGTCATCTGTAATCCACAATAATGGCTTTACTGTTCCTGAAGGCTGCGGAGAATCTGTACTTTTTGAGCCATTGTCATTAATACTGTTAATTCTGTTACCATTTATAACTATTATTATTTTTAAATTACGTCATTGCTTAACACTTTTTATTGTCTGTTTATTTTCACTCAGTCCAATTCACTTGTTAGTCATGTCTGCCTTCAAAATACAAAGTCCACACAATGCTACACAACCGACATCACACAACCTTATTAAATCATGCCAAAGTCAGACTGGGTAAAAATAGTAGTTGGAAACTGCGGCACTACCACAATTATTTTGACCGTGTGCAAAGAACATGCAGTCTTGTTGCCTTTCAAATGGCTGCTTCAAAGATGGGGACCAGATCTGCGATGACTCTCCAGTCAGTTGCCACCTTCCGAGTGTCTTTAGAGCATCAGGACTGTGATGAAGCAGCAATAAGACAATCAGTCTGCTATCATTCTGTGATGGAATCAAACTGGCAATGTGTTTGTGATAATACAGGGATTGAGTCTAGTTACTTGGCATGTAGTTGTCTACATTCATAGAAATTCATATTAAACAGAAATTAATTACTTGCAGCCAAAACCTCAAAGATCTAGTAAAAGATGGAAATTTCCCCACAAATAGTAATATAGTTACTACAGGATGATTTCAATTCAATTCAAGTCAGTGTTGTATAAAGCACCAATTCACAACAGTCATCTTAAAGCACTTTACTGTAAGGTAAAAAGCTAAACATTAGAAAGACTAGTGTGCGAAGGGAAAGTTCCCTTTAACAGGAGGAAACCTCCAGCAGGACCAGGCTCAGGGAGGAGCTTAAGTGAGACGTTGGGGAGCGGGGGGTTAAAATACATATCAGATTTAATATGTCCTACATACACACTTAAATAAGGCAGTGCGCATTTATTATAGGTTAAATTCCATTTTGCTCTTTTGCATGTTAAAATGAAAGAAATGACACTTTAATGAAAGCATAAAGTGAAGTAACTGCGCTGCTGTTAAACAGTCATTAATGACTGCCCTTGAGCAATTTACTCAGTTGGTTTTAGTAACTGCAACATGACATGTAATTAAAGAGTGTGTGGTCTAAAAGTGTTACTTGATAAGACAGCACCCACACAGGGGCTATTTGGATTTACTGCAACTCTGCTCAGACTGAAGGTGAGCAGAGGAGTGCCGAATCCATGAAACGATCTCGTATTAAAGCACATTAATTAGTTACAGTATTAAAGCCTTTTATTAGAAAGAGCTGCACACAAAAGCTGTCCAAGTCTGTGTAAGCTCGCAGGCTGCAACCTATTTCTGTCTTCTCACTGAGCACTCATTTCTCTCTTGGGTTCGCTCGACAGTCTGTGCTGTGTGGCGTGAATGACTTTTGCTCCACGGGGACTTTTTCTGCAAAGGTAGAACTGTGAACTCTCACATTTTCAATAAAAATGTCTGCTGCAGCGCGCAGGGTTAAAAGCTTCTGACTCATCTCACTGAGCCCACGGAGGTGGAAATGGAGAAATAACTCGTGGGGAGGAGGACATCTCCTCGTGTGACTGCTGATATCTGCGCCTGGCTGATGTTTCATGTTTTTAATATGCACTCCAACCGAGACAGTTTCCTTTCAGTCAGTTGGCAAAACACAAATTAGTGTGAAAGCAGCGTGTGAGATGGAAGGCATTACAGGAATCCAAACCCTACCATCTATTATATTACAGTTTTTCTGTAGTGCTGTGACACGACATGTTTTAGCGCCTCACCTCTGAAGATGCTTTTCATGAAAGAACTCATACACGCAGCAAAGTATTGATTTTACATCAAAATAAAATCTTTGCATGAATAATTCACTGCCATCACAATGTTGTCTTCCTTTGAGTCTTTAAACCAGGTATTTCAATGACACTGAATACTCTACAACAGCAGGACCCCCGGGCCTCGGACCGCTACCGGTCCGTGAGTAGTTTGGTACCGGGCCACGAGAGTTGAGGCTCAGGTGTGAAATGTATGGTTTTCAGGGTTTTTTATCGGTTTTCAGCGTTATTTTGTTATCGTTTTTATCGTTAACTCTGTTTTCCTGGATCTTTTCACGTGTGTTATGAATAAATCTTCTTTTTTTCGGTACCAGTACTAGTTTTATTTTGTTGTATTTATCCACGACACCTTAAAGGCCGGTCCGTGAAAATAATGTCGGGCATAAACTGGTCCATGGCGCAAAAAAGGTTGGAGACCGCTGCTCTACAACACTTAGATATCCTCAAATAATACTCTAAGTATTAAGAGTTTTCTCAGTTTCTTTTGTTCAGTTCTCAAATGACAGATGAAGGTTTTAAAAGAAGCTGTAAAATCCTTCAGAACAATTTATTACCTCTGCACATAAGAAGGAACATTTGCCATTCTGTTATCATCCAGATCTTTTTTTTCTAGACATGATGGATTTGAGTTCACATGAGTTTCTTTGTTATTCTAGCGATCAGTTTCCATTTGTCCCTTATCTGCGTTAAGTTCGTGGAGGCAACAGTCTGAGCAGAGAAGCCCAGACTTCCAACATCCCGGCCACCTTAACCAGCTGATAGTGTCGACAGATACGATCTCTCCAGCTTGTAATGGGTCTTCCCTGGGGCCTCCTCCTGGTTGTTGTCAGATACCCAAACCAGCTCTGCTGGGTCCTTCTGATGACGAAGTTATCAGTTTTAATCTTTATAGTTTCACCTTTCAGTAAAACTTCCTGATGGAATTAATGTGATTCACTCCATGGTCCCTGCTTTGACTGCATTGTTATTAGTGCTTCCCTTTCATTTCCTTCCGTCTTGTCTCTCCTTCAGTGCCTTCGTCCTTTCTGTCTCTTTGTCTGACATCTTTTTTAGTGTTAGTCTTCACATCTCATCTTCATGTTGCTGTGTTTTGGACCTTTGATAATTTTACTTTCTGTTTTTGTCTCCTTCTGTTGTGATTGTCTGCCCTGCTCTCATAGTCTTCTCCTTTTCTATGACTTCCTCTTCTTCCTGTCTTCTGTGACTCAATGTATCTATTGTCTCTGCCAGATCATCTGGTTGTCCACTCTACAGTCACGTGGCAGCACATTTTTCCAGCTCATGTCCAAACACTGTGTGGTTTATGATTGATTAACAGTTTCTTGTAACCCTGGTCGAGTTTTTATTGGACGTTTAATCATTTACAAACATGCTGTAAGTGATGATTTATAGATTAGATTAGATTAGATTAGATTAGATAGAACTTTATTAATCCCTCGGGTGGGTTCCTCTGGGAAATTCGATAGATATAGATATAGATATATATAGATATAGATATAGATATATATAGATATAGATATAGATTACTATTTATGCATCGTTGCTAAACCACAATAATTCACAGAACAGACACAATGTAACACGTTTAAGCAACAAATTCATAGAAAATTAAACCAATCTGTTTTTGCATGTTAATCCAAAGGCTTTGAAGTTTTATGATTCATTAAAAAAATTAAAAACTCAATTTTGGACTGTAGCATGGTTTTTGCATGCTGTGACACATATAGGCAAATGGTACAATGATTTGTATCAGTGTAGTAAGGAGAAAACAACAGGTAATACAAACATGCAGTAGATTGATGTGAGACGCACACACACACACACACACACACACACACACACACACACACACACACACACACACACACACACCTTATAATTCCACTGCACTGGTTTATTTACTGTACTGTAATACTGCAATTTGAGTTTGTACTTACCTCCATGGAGAAGCGTCTGTGCTGGGTCTTGCTGTGGTACTGGAGGTGGGATGGAGACTGAGCTCCTGGAGTGGTTGGTTCAGGGCTCACTGGGCTGACATCATGAGATGGAGGACCCAGTCTGTCTGGAGTCAGGCCTGACAGAGGGGAAATATAATCAACGGTGGTGGGCCACCGAAAACTCTGAGAACAGCTTAAGATCTCAGTGGGATACGTCAGCGACTGGCACCTTAGCTCCTGTAAAGCGTCGGCATTCATTGAGTTTAAGCAGTAATTCAGTTTGGGTTTCTCTGCAGTCGTGGTCCTTTAATCACGCAACTACAGCTGACTTTCAATATCAAGGGAAAACATCCATCCCCAACCCATGTAATTAAGTCCGACTTCAAAGCTGTACATCTGACCCTGATATCCATGTGTGCACAAATCTGTGTTTTTCCCAAGAAATCTGCCTTCTCCTTTTATGTTTAAAACTCTGCTTATGTACTTTAAATGCTTGTGTGAAATAAGGACGTTTTTTTTAAATGCCCAACTAAACGCCATGTTTACAGGGTGGAACAAAAGAGTATTCGATTTTATGGATATTTCGTCTTCCATTTGTGTGTGTGACTTTATTTTTTACAACCATTTTGATGAGACTTAAAGTTTGAATGTTGACCTGATTTGATTGACAGCTGTGCCAGCACAGGGGTAGTAGCTCCTCACTGTCCATAAGCTTCATCTCATCTGCAGCCTCCAGGCATGTGTATGTGAATTAAAATACAAAGCGCCCCTGTTTCCATGGGGATACTGCTTATTAACAAGGGTAGCAGGTCTCGTGTTAAGGAGGAGGTCTCAGACAGTAGGTTTCTTCTTAGCTTCCGCACAGCACACACACACACTCACATTTATATGCATACATGCTAAACATTTACTGTGTAACTATGGCCTTTCTCAACCTGCCTACACACACCCAGCTCATTCGTATATACATACACATATAAAAAGATAACGCAAAACTAGAGGCAGGTGCTCAGATTTGCGCATGCCTGGTTGGGTTTGATGCGACGTTTTAACAGCACCGCAGAGAGGCTTTTAACAAGCCATGCTATGCATTGTTTTCAGTGACTGTCTAAATGGGCCAGGGGGATGAAATGACAACCTGTTTGCTGGTCATTTGAATATCACAGCTACAGCACTCCTTTGATCTCTTGATGCTAATTAGGGTCGGTGAAGGTGACACTGATATGAACACGCGCTAACAAAGTGTCACATTGCTGTGAAATACGGATGGATGCCTGCTAGAAATCTTGTTAGAAAAAGGACAATCCAATATGGTACGCCGCATGATGTTTTTGTAGCATTTCCATCTCAAACTGTGCTCATAGTGAGAGGCTGAAATAGGAACAAATGAGCGGGGAAAGAAATGCCTTCAGTACTGACTTGGACATGTTAGATTATTTGCTTTGCTTTTCATCAGTGTTGCACGTCGTCTGCACAGACAATTGACTGAGAAGAATTTCTGATCTGGTATAGCTCCTTAAGGGAAAACACTTGACATTTAAATATCACACTTATACAAAAGCATATTCAGCAAAGCGGCTTTAAATTACCCATTAAAACAAATTCACTCTCACGTAGTTTCATGCAAACAAAAAAATTTTCCTGCAATGTAATATAATAATTTTATAATGACAGAAAACAGCACTGAAAGTGTGTATTTTTGTTCATGTGTGCATGAATCTATAGGTTACGCTGATGAGCTGATTGTACTCCGTGATCAGGGATTGTAATCGTCTCTGTTTGATGCTGCAATGTTTTTTAAAAAAAACATGTAATAGAAACCAATGATTTGACAGGATACACTACATTAAAACTATTATAGTATGGATAGTGGGATCTTATAAGGTGAGCCTTTATTGACATCTTTATGACAAAGTACCATCGTATTACTACAATGATAGAGACAATTTACCAAAACAACATATATTATGCAACATATACTACACTGTCCTGCACTATTGTGTTTCACTATTACAGCGCTGTAGGATAGGTCTATATTTATAAGTAATTTTTCATCAGGTGTTTTCAGTCCTGTTGCCACATGTCTGTAAAATCAGTTAGTCATGTAATTGATTGTATTTTAAAAATAGACACACCAGGTCATGTGTGGGAGTTTGCATGAATTATTTGACCACTTATACACTGCCAGTCAAAAGTTTGGACACACCTTTTCATTTAATGGGTTTTCTTTATAGATACAGTCATCAAATATATGAAGCAAGATATATGTGGGAAAGAAAAAAATGATCAATAACTCTAAATATGTATTATATTTTAGATTCCTGAAAGTAGCCACCCTTTGCTTTGTTGACAGTGCTCCAAACCGTTGGCCTTCTCTCGATGAGCTTCATGATGTAGTCACCTGAAATGGTTCTCCCTTCACAGGTGTGCATTGTCAACTGTTACAATTTATATTATGGAAAGAAGCAATCAGAGAAATGAATAAAGAGAAATGACAGTCCGTCATTGCTGTCAGGTCAGTCTGGAAATGTTCTAAAACTTTGAATGCGTCCCCAAGTGCTACGAGGAAATGGGCTCACATGAGGACCGCCCCAGGAAAGGAAGACCAAGAGTCAGCTCTGCTGCTGAGGATAAATTCATCCAAGTCACCAGCCTCAAAAAGTTAACACAAGTTAACAGCAGCTCAGGTTAGAGGCCAGAAAAATGCCACACCGAGTTCCAGTAGTAGACACATCTCTACATCAACTGTGAGACTGTGAATCAGGCCTTTATGGTCAAATAGCTGCTAAGAAACCACTACTAAGGAAAAGCAACAAGCAGAAGAGATTTGTTTGGGCCAAGAAACACAAGGAGTGGGCATTAGACCAGTGGAAATCTGTGCTTTGGTCTGATGAGTCCAAACTTGAGATCTTTGTTTCAACCCACTGTGTCTTTGTGCGACGCAGAAAAGGTGAACGGATGGTCTCCACATGCATGGATCCCACCGTGAAGCATGGTGGAGGAGGTGTGATGGTGTGGGGTGCTTTGCTGGTGACACTGTTGGGGATTTATTCAAAACTGAAGGCACACTGAATGGAAGACTAAGAAGGAGAGTGATGGAGTGCTGCACCAGATGGCCTGTCCTCCACAGTCACCTGACATATGGAGGCTGACTTCCAGTCAAGATGGTTTGGGATGAGATGGACCACAGAGTGAAGGCTAAAGGACCAACAAGTGCTCAGCATCTCTGGGAACTCCTTCAAGACTGTTGGAAAATCATTTCAGGTGACGACCTCATGAAGTTCATCGAGAGAATGCCGAGAGTGTCCAAAGCAGTAATCAAAGCTAAGGGTGGCTGTTTTAAAGAATCTAAAATCTAAAACATGTTTTGAGTTATTTCACACTTTGTTTACTACATAATTCTGTATCTTTTCATTCATAGTTTCACTTCAGTGAGAATCTACAATGTAAATAGTAATGAAAATAAAGAAGAAACAGAAGAAAAATGTGAAGGTGTGTCCAAACCTTTGACGTAGTATGGTATTCTACTTATTTTGCTGCACGAGAAACAATTCTGGGTTGAATTTAAAAAAACCAAAAACCATGTTTGCTGATGCCGACCAAACTTTTTCCATCACCACACAAATTTTGACGTTGGCATACAGCAACAATAAAATGTTAAGGCATCACATGATTTTTCCATGTGATGCTTATATCCGAGATGTTTTTTATTCAAGTCTGCTACACTATGGGACATGATATAATCCTACATGCTTCAGATGGAACAGAGCAAAACAAAAAAGAGAAATGATCAGTAAGAGCTATGAGTGGACTGTAAATATCAGGAGGTAGCTGGGTTTGTCTGCTTACCTCTCTCCTGACCTTCAGTAGCAGACAGTAATGCAGACTGATAGACTCTGGGGGGGTAAGACTACATAGCCAGCTGCTACTCCGTTAGACAGCTGAATAACATCCTCATTCAAATGGAATATTTTCATAGGAGGCAAGCACTTTAGATGCCTCATTTTGATTACTTATGTGGTAGTACACACGAACGCCTAACGTATCTTATAATAACACATCATAATAATACTGAATCGTCAAAATAGCACTGTAGCAGTAGGTGCTGTGCAAATAGAATTGAATTGAATTGAACCCGGGAACAATTGGTTGGAAATTGTGATGAAAGTTTAAATCAGATGCATTTTATAGACTCTGCAGTGTTATTCCATCTCTCAGTATCAGACGTGGTTTACATAATCAAGCACAGGCACTCAAGGATCTACTTGTGAGTGCATTCAGCTCCCTGGTATTATCTACCCCAATTTATCCCACTATAACCCTTATTCCCCTTTGAAGCCTGCTGATCCTCTGGCTCCGACTTGGTGGTGGTACCAGTCATAGCCGGAAAACCCCCAGTTAATCTGTGAGGGTCTGCTACAGACACGGAAGGAAGGAAGGCTTTTGTATTAAAACCCAGAGCGGTGTTGCAGTTTGTGCTCTATTATTAGACACAAGCCATTCATGCTCACATGGAGACCAAAGATGCAAAGAGGTAGAAGAGCTCATGGGTTGGGAATGTGAATGGATTTGAATGCTTTTAATTACCCAGTGCTTTATTGTTTTTAAAAGCTCGTTCGGTCTCTGAATACTCTGAGAAATCACACATTCAACAGTTAAAGAACAACATCTTCCATTTAAAGCTCGTGCTCACCTTACAACCTTAAGTCAGATATGCACTATTTTTTCTTTAAATCTAGAACGGCAGAAATATCTGGCTTTTCAAGCTCCTAAATGTTCCACCTGTTCTAACAGTAAAGTGATCAATTCCACCAACTCTGCTCTGGTCTTCTCTCTAGCTGCAGATGCTAAATGCTCCACTGCATTCAGCACCTAGTTGTTGACGTGTGGATTTTTTTTTTGGTGCCATAAGTTGTTGACGAGAGTGGACATCTTTGAATTGGCTGTTAAATCAAAACAATGCATAGAAAGTTGTTTAGTGAAGCAACTAAATGATGTTTGTATATTTAAGTTTACTTCCCTTGTCTTTTTCTTAATTATTGGTTATTTGCATCTGTGTTTCGTCACTCTCCCTGATTGCCTACTGTATATTTATACCCTCGGTCTCCCCTCAGTTCTCTGTTGATTATCAGTCCTTCCTCTCTTGGTTTGGACTTACGGACTTTGCTTATCAGTTGCCACTTGGACTTCTCTGGTACACCTGAATAAATGTTTGTCTTTTTCTTTATGAACTCTGTCCCACAACTCGTCCTTTGGGTGCTCAATTCCACATCATATGACACTATGTGGCTTAGCAGTGGATGTTACGACAAATCGACCATCGTAGTGAGTTTTGAAGAGTTATTTGCTGTTAAAATGTTTGCAACCGCAATGGTTTTCATAATCTGTGAAATTTCAAAATTGAACAGATAATTGTAGTAATCTCAGACAATGCTGGTGATTTGAGGGGGAAAGGTGTTCTTACCCTGAGTGTGCCGTATGTTGAGCTGGTTGATCTGCTCAGTGAACTCATTTTCTTCAATCGTCTCAGTCCGAGGAACCGACAAAGAGAAACGTCTCTTAAAGTTCTTCATCTTGTTCATGATGCTGAGTAGTTGACTCTAGGAGAAGACAAGCAGAGAGAGATTTCACAAAAACTTTCAAGGTGTAATAAAGCCATGCACACTACACTCGGTAGTCCGTCATTTTGAATGCAAACTATTTAGAATGAGTGCACTGGGTGAGATTTTTTCCTTTGTTCTTTTTGTGTTAGGGGGCTTTTGCATGACGTTGCTAACTAAAAAGCGGCAGTAAACACATACCTCCATCCAGGCAAAGAGAATGATCGATGTAAAGAGGACAGCATCAATACAAGTAACTAAGTGTTAATCCTCCTTGGTACACTGTCTACATGGCACAGGCTGCAGGGCATGTTGTACAGCTCTGATCTTCATGTGCAGCTTGACCAAATAAAGTCATGTGTGTTGTCTGATAATGAGGCAGAAAGCAGCGGGAAAGCAGCTGATCAATATACTCCCTCTCTCAGTAGGTTACACAGCCAAATCCTGCCCTAGCAGTTAGTTTTTACTTTGTTGGTCTTGTTTATTTTGATCCTCCTCCTTTCCTGTGGTCTGTGTGTTGCACAGACTGGTATCGTAGGGTCGCCACCATTTCTTTACTATCTAAGATTTCCACATATAGCATATGTGTATGTGTTTTTGCTCATTACTGCAAAAAGCTAAGAGATGTGTGTGGTGGGTTCAAATACAACCAGTACTGAGCCTTCGCTCATAAGAGTATTGCTATCTCAGAGAAATCTTCGTAGGTACTAAGAGAACGTGCGTCTGTACACAGTGCAGGTCAGACGGCGGCCTAGCCCAGTCAAGAAAATGTGAAAAAATGTATGAATGCACCAAGTAAAATACTGTGCTTGTCCATTATATATCCCTGTAAGGCATATATAATGTAAGGGATAATGTAAAGGAAGTTGTCATCTGTGTGAATATATAACTGAAACATTTCAAAAACGATTTACATTTTCCTAGAAAAGGGTCAAGGTTAGGGTTTGGAGCCAGGTTTGAGGTTGTTGGTGATGTAGAAGTCTTAAGAGGGTTAGGAGACAGTACAGTATTCTCTATTTTTAAGAACTCAGTAGCAGGTGCAATCTTCCAGCCCACTACCAAATATTTGAATATACGGATTTTAATGTACAGTGCAACCTGTTCTCACTCCTGAGTCTTAACCCCCGAGGTTTATGTCATCATCTTTGACAGCTCTGTCCCCCTTAGTGAATCAGAATATGTCCCTTTTTGCTTTTATTCAATTGCTCTCCAAGTCTCTGGTAATTAAGGAACATATTAAACGATCACACTATCTAAAAGAAAAGAAAAATATTCCCAAAATCTTAGTTTTGCCTTCGCAAAAATATTGTTTAGGATTGGGGTTGGCACTCATCATGGTTTAGACCTCAGATGGTTAGCACAATGATGTGGTCAGGATCCATCCCTGGCACAATATAGTCTGCTGTACATGTTTTTAGCGTCATTTCTCAGTGCACAGTATTGTATTGCTCTACAATACAATCCTGTAATCACTTTTATTTACAGAGTAGCGTTAGTGTATAGACATAACCGTTATACCCGGGCCCAACAACACATCCAGGGAAAAGGTGCAGAACAAAAGTAAAAGGAAAGCCTACTGCACTCAAAATCCTTCATTTGAAGGTTTTGCGATGGAGTCATCGCCACTTCATCTGCATCTGGTGACTTTTGCAGTGGCAACGTACAAACATTTTGACAAACTCTGGAAAAAGTTGAAGTAGAAGATTAACTTGCATTGAAAAAGTGCAGGTTGTAAAAAGCACATTGTTGGAGGAAACTGTACAACATATATTAATATATAACAAAATAAATCACTTTGTACAGGGGAGTACAAACTTTATTTCAAGTTAAATTCAAATTCTTCTGAATTCAATTTGAACATCTATTTAGTAGAAGAAAAGCAGGAAACAGGGAATTAAAACATCCAGCTGTATTTGCTGTTTCTTACATTGTAGATGGTTGTCTTTACCTCCTCACCTTAACAGAAAAAGTGAAGTCCAGTTGAGTCCCGTCAGGTCCATTAAAAATAGGCTAAGATTTATGTGTATAGACTGGGATGAGAAGTTGTGATCTCTTATCTGAGATTCACTGCTCTTTATGGATTTAGCCAAGAGAATTTAACAAGATATACACAGATGTTGTTGCATCTGCGATGATTGATTTTCAACCTCTAGAGAATATAAACCCAGCACAAAGCTCAATGAGTTCTGCAGATCGACAACAGCTTAAATTCAGCTTGATTTGATTAACATGAAACTGCCTAATATTTTCATTCTCAAGTTAGTATACTTCTTGTTTTTTTTTTACAATTTGTTTTGGAAGATATTTTAAAAAGAAAAAAGAAAGAAAAAACATATCAGCACCAAATCATCTGGCTCTGTTAAACTCTAACAAAGGACATCACATGTAGGCTTTAAATGTCCTGTTTATCAAATGTCATGGAGCAGTCCTTACATTCAAAAATAATTCCTGCATTCCTACATGACATCTTTCTCCATCATAAAATGATCAAATATGTTTTTCTCTCTCTGGGAAATACAGCAGCTGCACCTTTACCTCGCTAAACATCTGCACCAAAAATGCAGGATGAATATCAGGAGTTATTTTGGTGCCAAGCAGCACAATTCACATGTAATCAGTGGGAAATTGTTTAATTTTCCAGGAAGCGAACATTTTAGGTATTCATGATTAGTGAGCCTGGTTTCACAAAGGTCTTTTGTAACTGCAGAAAATGTCAAACTCCTGATATGAATCTGTTACCCAGAATTTTCCCTCCTTAACAATCACTAAAGTTTTTTAATAGATAAAAGCATGATTGAGAAACCTAATCAAACTACTCATCTCCCTTTACCCTGACATTAGATATAGATCAGGAGGGAGGTATAATGAACAAAGGTCTGACGCAGGACCACAAACATATGCAATTCCAGGAAAAGCAAAAAGACTAGAAAAAGCACGGGGATGTGTTTGTGGAGGGAGAACTGTTCATCTGCAAACTGGAGGTTGGATGGTTCAAGATACTGAGCTTTTAATTTCCAGTGTGGGCAAAACAGAAAAAGTATTTGAAAATAATGTTTTATAAATGTGGCTCATGGTCATAACAGCTAGAAAAGTGCTATGTAAAGACCAGTCTATTTGCCATATACAGTGAAAACACCAAGGCTGGAGACACAGGAAGAGACAGAACAAAGGAACAGGAAAGACAAGGTGGCAGAGAAACAAAGATTCAAAGCAAAAACAACAAAGACGCACACAGAAAATAGCAGCAATCTAAAAGTCATGACACACGCCAGCAGCACTCTGTCTGGGAAGATTTATTTTATGTTATCTTGTTTTATTCTTCCAAAAAACTAGAAAATCTGATATTTTGAGTGATGATATCTTATGTTTAGCATTTTGCTATTAATGACATTGTTGAGCAGATTTCACTCTTTGGTAAGATTGAATATTTTTAGTTAGTCTCTGGTTAAGGTGGGTAACATTTTAGGTTTAAATTAAAGCATGCCCATACAGTGTCTTTCAATAGCTGACAATCAGGAGGCAGTGTACAAACTGCATTCAGATCCCTCTAACGTGAGAGCACTTTCAGTTAAAACTTCTGCAGCTTTCAGAAAGGAGGTCTTTTCTGAAAAGGACAAGAAGATGATGGTAAAGTACAGACTGTGCCCGATCCTACACAACAGCTCACTGCTGCAAACGGACATCAAATCACTCTTAGCATTTCCAACATGTTAACACAAAGCTGGCCACAAAACCTTGAGGAGAAAAATCTAGACTTGTATGTGGAGATCTGGGAATGGAATTAAAATTTTGAAATTTTCACTCACAGAAATGATTCGTACACAAATTTCCTGTAAGTGAAGTTAGATGAATTATTCACAAATATGCACACAGAGCTAAAAACAACATTTTTAATTTTAATTTCGGTTATTTTCTCGATCCTTTCCCAGTAAAGGTAAAGACAGTAGTACGACAATGGTCATTTCCAGAATTTTCCACAACATTCCAAGGAATTCTAAAGCAGGCAGGCACCGGAGCAGTCAGTATGACAAAGTCTGTGCACCTTCTGAGTTCTAAATGGTCTCTGAGGGAAGCGTGTCATTGCTGGACTCGGTGATGTCGCCACTACAAACCACCTCCCCCTTCCAAACTGGTCAATCCAGGGGAAACACTGAAGGTGGTGAATAACCTTTAAAATCCAGCTTCAAGGTAAGACAACACAGGCTGCTTAGTCAATATTGGAACTGATACTTTTGATAACAGTGGGACTGCAGACTAATGAGATTAGCATGAATAATGTTAGCCTTGTGACGACTCAGAGAAACATTATTAGAAACAGGTGTGCACACACTCGTTCATAATCTTGGTTTTTGTAGCTGATTAAATATTATTAAATGGAAAAGTTTGATATGAAGCTAATTTCAATATTAGCATTAATCTAATATTAGGTTTTGTGTATGTGGCAGATATCCATAATCTCTTAAAACTTAAAGTTAAGTGGAAGAAGTTTAATTCATGCTGAAAGTATCAATGTAACTGTCAAACAAATTTTGATACATACATAATATTTTGTAGCGTACTCATGATAACCCAAAGCACACAGGGCTATTAAGAATGTGACGGATATTTGGTGATTTAAAAGTCTGACACTGCAATATAGAAGCCAATAGTTTTTTCTTCTTTTAAACAGGAAATATAAGCAGATTTATAAGTGCATTGGCTGAGGTCTGATTCTCATTTTTAGTAACAGGAATCTGGATCTTCATACAAAAGGAGACTGGAGAAAATCAAAAACTGATTTATTAAAGTTTGCTTTAACTGTTTTGGTTTGATTATTTAAGATTCCTTTGATGGCTTTGGCCAGACAGCAATAGTTATGAGACAGTATCCTCAGCCCTGCCAGTAAGCTTGTGTTCAGCTGATTGTCATTTCAACAACCAGGGAACAGTTACCACATACTGTGTATATGTTTATGTATTTAGTTATTTTTCAGCTCTACAGATGACAGTGCATAACTAGTTTGGTGCTTTAATCTGTTAAAAAAAAATCATTTAAAAGGTGTGAAAAATGAATACAGACCAGGGGGTTGGGAGAAGATAATGAATGCATTCTCAGAACCAAAGACGTGTAGGTGGCAGCCATAAATTGAACAGTGAATGAGAGGAGAGGAAGCCGCTCACAAGAAGATGGTGGAAGCAAATAATCCCCAGATCAGTGCAGAGAAAGAGAGGATTTCTCATTTTCTAAAAGGGGAAGCCTTTAGAAATCAAATTCAGCTCACGTGAAGCCTCGTTGTGGAGGGAATCTCACTCTCGGAGGCATAAATCACAACAGCACTGTCATAGCAGAGCTACAAGAACTAAAGATCACCTTTTTTTAAAGACCTGATAGTATCAAGTCAAATGAGCAGCTGACATTTCACATTTTATATATGCATTAGATTAAGTTAAATGTATCAGCAAAATTGCAGTTGTTCTCACTACCAGTAAATATCTTTGCTGCAGTTATTTAAAGCAATGTCCATAATATGCCAATAATAATCCCATAAGCCCAGAGACTAGAATAAACAATGAACCCTGATGACTGAGGCATTTATTGTGAATTGTTGGAATGCACAATAGTTCTAAATTTGGGAAGCTGGAATAGTAAAAGCCATCAGATAGAAAGCAGATTAACGAGTTGAGAATGGAGGCGGAAAGAGGCTTACTGAGAAGACAGAAATCAATACCAGCAGGCTGACTGAAGTGTTGCTTTGTTTGCAGTTGTGGCAAATGTTTTTCCCCATGAGGATTTGTGGGGCTGCCTGTGTGAAGGCTGAATTCCCCAGTGTATCAGCAGGGTATGGAAGCCTGCTGCACAGACAAGGAGTACCGCCGATGCACTTTACCAGGAGCTGAGATACACAAAGGAACATTGTAGCTCAGTCTGTGGTCTAAAACTGAAGTCAAGGAAATTGATCTAAAACAAAGCAAAAAAACCGGCAATACAAACACTTCCTCGTGTTACATCAGCACTGGCCTACTGGCTGAGCTGTTCTTTCTAAGGAGATTGAGGAGGTGTTTTTTTTTTTTTAATCTTTATCAGCATCATTGAAGAAAATAGTTTCCAGTTTTTATTTTTAGATAAACCTCCTAACCCCTAACTCTGCCCCCGACACTGGGCTTTAAACCCTAAGTAAATATTGTTTTTACATACCAGTCTTTGCAGATTATTTCAGTGTGTCGAGACAACCAGATGCCGTATAGCACAGCTGTCAAACTCCAGTCCTCGAGGGACGGTGTCCCTGCTGCAACACACCTGAATAAAATTAGTAGGTCATTAGCAAGACTATAGAACTTGATTGCATGCTGAGGTGGGGACTCTAACCCTACTCAAGTAAATCTAAGTAAATTTAAGTGAAAATGTAGTTCTAAAATTACTTTCATTGCACCATGTTCATTCACTCATGAGCTGCTGTTACATGAATCAAGTGGCTGAATTGTCACCTCAGCATTCAGTCCGGTTCTATAGAGTCTCGCTAATGAAATTCAAATTCAAATTCAAATTTTATTTGTCACGTACACAGTCATACACAGTACGATATGTAGTGAAATGCTTGGACAACTGCTCGTGACCTAAAGAAAACAAAAAAGGAAAGGCTATGAATAAGATAGGAAATAAATATGAAAAATTAAAAAGGGTAAATTTAACTAGGAAGGAATAAAATATAAATTAAGGTTAAAAATGAAATAACTGTACAACACAAATTAGAATGAAGGGTAAATTTAACTGGGAGAATAAGATAAAATATATAAATTAAAGTTGAAAATAAAATAACTGTACAACAAAATACACAATACACTATAGAACTATATAAGAATGTATGAAGAAATCTAAATATAAATAAATATATACACAATAACAGCAGCTGTACAAGTATTAACCGGAAATGAAGAATATAGTGACCAGTGTTGTGCAAAAACAAAGTCCAGAAAGTCCAGTGTGTGTGTAAGAACCATATGTGTGGGTCAGTACTGTGTGGTGGTGTGATTGAGAGACCGTATCGCCTGCGGGAAGAAGCTCCTCCTCAGTCTCTCTGTGTTGGTCTTCAGGGAGCGGAATCGCTTTCCTGACCTCAACAGAGAGAACAGTCTGTTGTTGGGATGGCTGAGGTCCTTCACGATCTTCCTGGCCTTGGTCCAGCACCGCCTGCTGTAGATTGAGTGCAGGTCAGGGAGCTCGGAGCGGATGGTGCGCTCAGCTGACCGCACAACCCTCTGTAGAGCTCGTCTGTCCTGCATGGTGCTGTTCCCGAACCAGGTTAAGATGTTTCCCGCCAGGATGCTCTCTATGGTGCACGAGTAAAAGTTCCTGAGCACCTTGGAGGGCAGTTGGAAGTCTCTCAAGCGTCTGAGGTGGTAGAGACGCTGTCGGGCCTTTTTCACCACGGTGTTGATGTGACAGGACCATGACAGGTCCTGCGTGATGTGAACTCCGAGGTATTTGAAGCTGTCCACTCTCTCCACTGGGCACTCGTTGATGACGGGGGTCTGGTAGTTCCTCTCCTGCTTAGTGCTGAAGTCCACTATCAGCTCCTTTGTCTTACTGACGTTTAGAAGGAGGTTGTTCCTCTGGCACCAGTTCTCCAGATTCCTAATCTCCTTCAGGTAGGCCGTCTCGTTGTTATCAGAGATCAGGCCCACCACGACGGTGTCGTCAGCAAACTTGATGATGGTGGTGGAGCTGGTAGTGGCCACACAGTCATATGTGTACAAAGAGTACAGCAGGGGGCTCAGAACACACCCCTGGGGGGCTCCAGTGCTGAGAGTGGTGGAGGCTGAGACATGTCCGCCCATCCTTACTGCCTGTGGTCTGCCAGTTAGGAAGTTGGAGATCCACTGACACATAGATGAGCTGAGTCCCAGATGCTCCAGCTTGGTGGTGAGTGTGGAGGGAATTATGGTGTTAAATGCAGAGCTGTAGTCTATGAAGAGCATTTTAACATAATTCCCCCTTCTAGTGTCCAAGTGAGTGAGTGATGTGTGGAGGAGATGAGAGATGGCATCGTCTGTGGAACGATTTGGACGGTAAGCGAACTGTAGTGGGTCCAGTGTGTCTGGTAGTGAAGAAATGATGAAGTCTCTGACCAGGCGTTCAAAGCACTTCATCACTACTGAGGTGAGGGCTACAGGGCGATAGTCATTGAGAGAAGCAGGGTGGGGTTTCTTCGGGACAGGAACAATGATGGACTCTTTGAAGCATGTGGGGATCACCGACTGAGATAAAGAGATGTTGAATATCTCAGTGAACACAGGAGCTAGCTGGTATGCGCAGTCTCTTAGGATACGACCTGGGATGCCGTCTGGTCCTGCTGCTTTCCTGGTGTTCACTCTCTTGAAGGCTCTCCTTACTTCATGCTCGGAGATGACGAGCACGTTTCCGGTGCTGGCAGTATCTTCCTGTCTGCAGCCGTTAGCGCCGCTAACACTAGCATTGTTGGAGACCTTAGCTGCAGCCTCGAAGCGAGCATAGAAAGTGTTCAGCTCGTCTGCCAGAGTCACGGCCGCGTTCGTCATACCGGTTGTTGGTGCTTTATAGTCCGTTATTGTCCTTAGTCCCCGCCACAGGCTCCTAGAGTCACTCTGTTGGAGTTGTGACTCTAGTTTCCTCCCGTAGCGCTGCTTCGCCTCTTTCACCGCCCTCCGCACGTTATATGACGCGGCTTTGTACGGGTCCATGTCCCCCGTCATGAGTCCCGTGTTGTAGGCAGCGGTGCGGGATCTCAGAGCGTCGCGGATGGTTTTATCCACCCACGGCTTCTGGTTGGGAAACGTTGTGATAGTCTTTGTCTCCACGGTATCATCCGCTAGTTTCCCGATGAATCCCACAACCGCTTCCGTAAACACGTTGACGTCATCGTCGGAGCTGTTTCTGAACATGCCCCAGTCTGCGTCATCGAGTGCGTCCTGTAACGCGGCCACCGATTGGTCCGTCCAGCGCGCGACCTTCCTCTGAACCGGAACTTCCTGTTTCAGCCTTTGTTTGTATTTTGGCATGAGGAAGATGGCGGCGTGATCAGATGACTGTATTCAGGTGTGTTGCAGCAGGGACACATGGAAGTTTCAGGACACCGGCCCTCGAGGACTCGAGTTTGACACCTGGGCCATAGGGCAAGGTACAGCCTTTGCCAGTCCATCACAGGGGCAGGATTATGACTTAGACTAAGTTTTGGAAGTGACTGTTTCCTCCATGGCAGAAACAAACCAGGTGCTGCTCCTTCACGGAGTGAGGTTAGTAAGTATGCATTAGTGTTGGAGGACCTTAAAATCCACTTAACACTACTTGGTTTGACACAGCACTTAATATGCTGGGCACTCCGAGCTAATGTACACATAGCGTGTGCAGGTCAGAGAGACAGACAACCACACACTGACACTCACAAAAACCACAAAAATACAGGGAAAACATGCAAACCCCACACAGAAAGGCCCCAGATGACCAAGAAGTGTGAATCCAAAACCCTGCGGATTCAAGTGCTAACCACAACACTGCCCAGAGTATTAAAATGACATTTGTAAACTTTATTGCTCTTCAGTGATTTCTCCAAATTAATTTGTCTAAATTTCATTAAGATTTAATGGCAACTTTAGGCCAGCACAATTGAAACCCCATGTACAGTATTATGCATATGTGAAATGACTTAATTTCCAAAGTTTAGACGGAGAGCAAAGTGGAAATAGTTTCTGAAACTTCAGATTTTAACCACAGAAGTGTTGATCTATAGTTCCCCTCCAACTCTATTCACACAGAGTGCCAATCAGCCACATGTTTTCTGTTTGCAGTGTCCACACAAAGATAATATCAGTTGATCTTGCCCTTTTGCTCTCCGAAAGAAAATCAAAAGTTTCATTTTCCACACAGGACTTTGAAAAACATCTGATTGAAAGCTTCTATTCTCTTTGCTCCCTCATTTGCCCTCTTGAACAACGTAATTGCATAGGTCGTGACGGAGAAAGTTCCTGATTGCAGTGGACAGTGTTTGTGTGTTTTTCTGTGAGACCAGCGGTGTGTTGTATTTATCTTCCAGACAACAGACTCCTCTGTTTGGAGAAGAGTGCAGATTTAGGTCCTGGATGGTTGCATCCAATCAGCAGAATCTGGCATCACACTCAGAGTTACTCCATCAAAGGGAGGAAGCTGGTCTTTGTGGTTGTAGTTGTGTGATACTGTCTGACCACACACACACACACACACACACACACACACACGCTTGATCTCATAAGTGCATCTGCTCAAAGCAAGGTGCCAGCATATCTCAGTTTTCCCCTCACTGTGATCCTGCCTGGACACTTCACGTTGCTACAGCACCCACTCTCCTCTTTGATCTCTCTTTGTCTTCCTCCATCAACCCTCCCACCTCTCATGCATCTGGATGAGGGCTTCTTTCACACACGTCACTCACGTAACCTTAATTTGTTCTATCAGAAATGTTGTAAATCAGCATTGCACCCTCGGTTCCACTGCAGACAGAAACATGGCAGTGACTTTATTTTTAACCTCTAAACACTAACAACAGTTAAGATTAGGCTACTAGATTCTATTTTTTATTGTATTTTTTAATGAAACATCTGGCACACCCGAGTTGTGCTCGTTCAGCACAACAAAATCCAAATCTTCACCCTGAATAAACTGCCAGAGATCTGGTAGTTTAAAAAATAAACATTGTCACTGTAAATACATACGATGAACTTAAGATAATATTCTATAGCACAACATTAAAAACAGGATCTTGACTAAAACATTGGATGATAGGTAAGAGAACAGAATCAAGAAAAAATGAAGGTATAAAAGGATAAGCAGAAGGGAATGGATGGAAACCTGTA